TATTGGATTTAGTAGAGACTTTAAGTCAACTGTCCTGTCTTAGCTACTTTTCTTGTTGCTAAGACAAAAATTTTGGCCCACGGTCAGCTGGCTCCAAGGCAGGGTGGCATGGCAAAGGGGCATCACAGAGGAGAAAGAGTCCATAGCATGGCACAGAAGGCAATGGCCACAAGCAATAGCAGCAGCAGTCCTCTTTCTGTCTCTTATATTTTATGCAGGCTACCCACCCTTAGAGTGGATAGCACACACACCCTTAATGCCAACATTGTGCCATTAAGCATTACACATTCTAGATTCAGCCACCTCTGAAAAGCCCCACCTATGACCACATGAGGCTTTGAGGTGACACCTAGATACAAGGCATAACACGTCCTAAATATGTTTGAAGAGCTGAAAGAAATCATGCACAAACCACTAGAGGAAACCAGGACAATTATGTTCCAACAAATGTGGAGTATGATTAAGGGAAAAGAATTATTAAAAGGAGCCATACAGAAAGTTGAAGGCTGAACAGTACGTGAACTGACATTTTAAAATTCACTAGAGGAATTTAAAAACAGCACTGAACAAAAAGTAGAGAACATGAAGATAGGGCAACTATGATTTATGAAGTCTGAAGAACAGAAAGAGAAATAATCAGGAAAAATAAACAGTGGTTAATATATCTACAAAACATTGTCAAATATACTAACATACATAAAAAGAAATTCCCAGAAGAAAAAAGAAAAAAGGGGTTAGAAGGAACACATAAAGAAATAATTGCCAAAATTCCAAATTTGCAGAAAAATATGAATCCACACATTCAAGAAGCTCAATGGAATCTAAGTAGGAATTCCTCAAAGTCCACACTAAAACACATATCGGGGATGGAGTAGCTCATAGTAGAGTACATGTTTAGTATGCACGAAGCACCAGCACTGAAAAAAAAGACACATTATGTTCAAACTTTTGAAAGACATAGAATCCTGAAAGCTACAAAAGATAAAGGACCTCTCATATAAAGGACCTTTAACAAGATTAACAATGAATTTCTCTTCCAAAACAATAGAGACCTGGAAAGTGGTAGATAATGTATTTAAAGTGCTGAAAGGCAAAACTTTCAAAGCCATCCAAACAAGAATTATATATCTGATAAAAATATCCTTCAAAATTAGAGAAATCAAAATATTCCCTGTTTTATAAAAAATTGAAAGTTTGAGCCAGGCATGATGGTGCACCCTGCAATCCAAGCACTTGGAGTATTACTGCAAGCTCAAGATCAGCCTGGGGTACACAGTGAGTTCAATGCCAGTGTGAACTACATAGCAAAACCCTGTCTCAAAAAAAAACACCACCAAAAAAATAGAGAGGGCAAGAGAAATAAGATTCTTACATTGTTCCTTCTTATCAGTGTTGTTATTGATCCTGAGTAGGTTAGCAATACTTCCTTTTATGACCTTTATGGCCTCTATGTTCAAGAGTTCTTAATATAATATAAATATATTTAGTTATATTTAATATATATATATATAATATATTAACCTTAGCACTCAAGATCATTTCTATTTATTGATAATTATTTTTCATTTTCTTTCTTTTTAAGAAAGGTCTGGATAAGATTTGTCAATCTTCAAGAATCAATCGATTCCTTTTGCCAATTTGGTGGCACATGCCCATAATCTCAGCACTTTGGGAGGCTGAGGCAGTAGCTTTGTAAGACTTGAGCCTAGCCTGGGCAATTCAAAGACTTAGAAGGACCCATCTCAAAATTTAAAAATTAAAAAGACAATTAGTGTAGCTTCATGTGCAGGTCCTAGATTAAATTGTCACTACCACAAAAAAAAAGCTAAAATCAATAATTAGAAATCTATGTTAATGCATACAAAATATGAGAAGATGCAATTTGTGACAACATTTAAGAAAGATGTAAAGAAGCAAATATTTTTGCACACTAGTAAAACAAAATATATAATTAAAACTTGATTATTATAAATACAAGATGTTGGGCTGAGATTTAGCTCAATGGTTCCACCACCTGCCTTGCAAGAGCAAGGTCCCTAGTTTGATCCCCAGTACCAAACAAACAAACAAACAAGTACAAGATGTTAATTGCCACCTCCAGGTTAACCACAAGGAAAAAAACTAAAATAACATACAATAAAAAAATAAAAAAGAAGTAAACAAACAGTATTCTATAAAAATGTAAATCACAAATGAAGGCAATAATAGGAAATTATGGTATATAAAATAACGAAAGTCCTTTTAAAACTATAGTTACTTTAAATGTAAATGGATTATACTCCCTAATTATAAGGTAGAGACTAGAAGAATGGGTAAAATATATTATTCAACTATAGACTGTCAAGAAGAAACTCACTTTCTATCACAGGTCACATATATATTGAGAGTGAATGGATATTTCATGAAACTAGTAACCAGAAGAACTAAATTATCATAGTATGAGACAAAATACAACTTAAGACAAATATTGCAATGAGAAATGAAGGACCTTATACATTTCTAAAAGGGTAAAGCCCTTGAAGACAGTATAAAAGATATAAATGTACATTCACCTAACAACAGAGACCAACAAAGTACAGGGAACAAAAACTAAAAGAACTGAAGAAAAACACTTACGCACAATAATACGTGGAGATATCGATACTTAATTTTATATAATAGATAATACTATTATATAATATTAGACAGAAGATCAATAAAAGGTAGAATTGAAAAACACTATAAAGCAATTCATTTTAATAGAAATAAAAGATATCCCACCCAATTACAAAAAACATTTTTTCTCAAATATACCTGGAATGTTCCCTGGGAGCATAGATGTTCCACCATTAAACAACCATCAATAAATAAAAAATATTCCTAGTATTCAAAATGTCTTCTGCACAATGAAATGAAAGCATAAATCAACATTAGAAAGAAAAGTAACAAATTTATAAGTATGTAAAATTAAACACTCAGTGAATGAAAGAAAAAAAACACAGATGAAACAAGAAAATACTTGAGAATAATGAGATCATACCAAAAATGATGGGATAAAGCAAAAGCGTTAATCAGAGGGAAATTTATAGCCATAAAAAGCTACATTTAAAAAGAAGAAAAGGATAATGGGGTGCACCTCAATAGTAAAAGCACATGTTTAGCACATGTGAGGCCCAGGATAAAATTCCCAGTCACACACACAAACACAATAAGAAAGATCCCAAACCAATAATCTAACTTCATACCTTAAGAAACCAGTAAAAAGCAGGTGTAACCGAATTAGTGAAAGAACTGAAATGACAAACATAATCAAAATGGAGAATAGATAAAGAAAACTAAAAGCTGATTCTCTGAAAAGATCAAAAACTTTTACAAACAGTTTAGTCAGAGTGAATAAGAAAAAAATGACTCAAGAAGAAATAAAGAATCTGAAAATATCTGTAACAAGTAAAAGATTCAATCAATAATCAGAAACTTCCCTATAAGGAAAATATAAGACCAGATGGCTTCACCGGTGATGTTTTGAACATATTTAGAGAACTAACACCAGTCTTTCTCAAACTATATATGTAAGCCCCACATTATTCAAATACTAAAGCTAGATAAAGACATAACCAGAAAATTATAGACCAATACCACTTAGAACATAGATTTTAAAATCTTAAAAAAAACCCAAAAATTAAAAAAAAAACACTGAACTAAATTGAGCACTATATTATGCACTGTGACTGAGTGGGATTTATCTCAAGAATATGTAAGAGTTGTTCAACATACAAAAATCAATGAATGAAATGCATTGCATTATGAAACAAATGAAAGCAAACTATATGATTATACCAATTGAGACAGTAAAAATATTTAACAAAATCTACCACTCTTCTCTGATTAAGAAAACACTCATCAAACTAGAAATAAAAAGAATTTCCTCAATGTGATAGAAGGTATTTATTAAAAACTCACAGCTAATATCATACTCAATAGTTAAAAACTGAAAGATTTCCTTCTAAAATCAGATGAAAAAGGATGTCCACTTTCTTTGCTTTTATTCAACCTTGTACAGGAAAAGAAGTAAAATCATGTTTATTCCCAGATGACACTATCTTATATATGGAAAATTCCAAATAACAAATGAACTATCCCTCTGTCTCTCTCCCTCTCCATATATATAAATTAAA